TTCATCCAGTACCCATTGATTAGTGACTTCAAATTCAAGTTCAACTCTCACTCTCAATTCCACTGTTTCACAATCTCCTTTCTACAGTTTTCACTCTCACTCAACTCCAATCAACAAATATATTTTTGCTTTCCCTTTCAACTCAAGCCTTATCTTTCATTCTTATTTCAACTTCTCAATCAGAATACTTTCACTCGTAATGGCTAGTTCCAAATCTGGCAGCCCAGGGTCTCAAACTAAAGCCTTATCAACCCATCCTGTCTTGTCAACCCCCCTTTGTTGTTCTATCAGACCACCAGCACCTCAAAAGAGTCAAACGGGCATGCTGCAGCCTTCTTCCGGTAGCTGGACATCAATTGTTCTCCCCAAAGCCAGAATGTCCAAGCCTCTGGCACGGAAAAAGAAAAAATTGAAACCGACCAATGAAACCTTGTCTTCACACTACAAAAATGATGTATTTTTCCAAGATGAAAAATGATCGAGTTTAACGCACAAAATCATTAGTAATGCAGAATCAATGCATGGCACCAAGTGACAAGAAGTTCCTCGATGTTGGGAAACTTGACATCGGCCTTTTGTTTAGTTTGAGGACCAACATTGGTGGAGATCTTTCAAATTGAGTCCTTGTCTTTGAGCCAACGCGAGATATTAGGTTCACTAATTCCCATATTGAGATGAATCTTTGAGAAGTGAAGGAAAGTCTTAGTCTGACTTTCCCCATTTGCATAATACCAATCAATGACTTCTAATGGTTGATTGTGAGTAAGACTTTGCTTGTGTTTTGCTGAGTTTTGAGACAAACATTGTGATTGGACTGGTTTTGAAAGATGAGAACAAGGCCGCTTGCCCTGACCTTTGCTGAAGTGATCAGCAGTTGGATCCTTTTTGTGTTTGTTCATTTTCTTTGCAGCCACTTCAACTAAAGTAGATTGATAAGATTCAATTATAGCTCAAATAGCTTGATATTTGTGGTATGCAAAGCAGTAAGGTTCATTATCTTTTGCAGCAAGAAGTTTGTCAATTAAGATTTGTTCTGTTATTAAATTACCACTTTGATCAAGCCATTCATCATCAGCAGTGGATATCTCTTCACCAGCATCTTGGCGAGATTCAATCTTGTCACGTTGCTTTCTTGAGGCATCTTTTAAAGTTTGAAGCCCTTTCTTGAGTAAATGGTGTTTGTGCTCCTCTGAGTTCAGATCGGGTGAGAAAGCGGCGGGAAGGAGGGGACTTGATGCAAGATAAATGATGTTGACAATCTTTGTGGCGTGTATGGGGTTAAGGTGGTCAAACTTGAGGGGCTCAACAGCCAGAGAAGGTCCTTCTGTGTCATTCATGTTGGTTTGATTTGGTTCAAAGCTTAATCTTCCTTCAAAGGCTATGCTTTTTGGCTACAGAGATCCGGTGTGGTACTAATAGCACAACAAGGGCTATACAGTGCTTTGAAAGAGGATAATCTGTAAATATAATGACTTTACAGAAGGTGTCTGTGACTGCTCTTTCTGAGAATCTTTAACAAACTGGACTTTGTTGTTAAAGTCTCCTGATAACAGAGAAAAATAACCAGGACTTTGATAATAGAGAAAAGTATCTGTTGATAAGGCACCAGTGAAATTAACTCAACACAAAAGTGTTATTCCAAATGAAGCTTTTAGCTTATAAGACCAATAAAATAAATTCTCATATTATTTAATAAGGGCAGTTTAAGTGAACTAGGACTGTGTAGTGATTCTTATAATGTTAAAAAACTACTAAACTTTATCATAGATGAAGAAGAAAGGGAAAAAAAACAAAAGTGGGACAAAGACCAAGACTTATATATCTGATTTTACAAATTAATAATTGTAAACAGCTTTCAAAAACCAAAAAGATGACTAAAAAGTTGGTAAACAGCTATGATGCAATGAATCAATGATCTTCTACACTTCCCAAATTTGCCATTTTGAGCCATTTTAGCTAGTACAAATATGTAGTATGATGTAATGTGATCAATAGATCTTCTACAAGTGATTCTTTACTCATTTACCCAGCAAAGATGACTAATTGCTACTGCCAAGCTCTTCTTATGATCAATTTGTGACTTTTTGAATGGTAAACAGCTATTACAAATTCTTCAACTCATTTATATTTTCCTCTCCAAGCCTTTATAAACCCTTTACTAATAATGATTCATCTTCTTATAGTCAATCTTCATATATATAAAAAAACACATATGTGTCACGAAGAAAAAAAATTGACCGTTTGGAGTAAATCGCCCTGATTTTACGTGACTTTAAAAGTCTTTTTTAAAGCGTTGGTGAAGGAGCGGACAAGGATTTTAAGGTGCGAACGACCTTAAAATCCAGTTCGGGGCTTTGCGACACACCTGATCGCGGCGTTCTACTTGAACCGCCCTAATATTAAAAGAGTCTTTTTATGATTACTAATTGATTCTAAGATTATGGTGCTGTGTATGAATGATGAAAGGATGTGTATTTGATCTTCAATGAATTAGCCATCTACCCTTTTCATTTGATTTCATCACCTTGATTATCAATCATGGTTGCTTGATCTCATAACCATCTTCCTTAATCCAAAAGTCGAAAATCAAAAATTTCGACCTGTAACAACCCATAATTCACACCACTACAGACACTACATATCCCATAATACATCTTCACTTCCTCTTTACCTCACTGTCTCGTTTTCGCTCGATCGATCTCGATCTCACTCTTTCCTTTCAACACTCTTCACTTCTTCAATATGTAATTCATCTCTCTCTTCTCATCTTTCATTTACAATACCATCTTCAAAACTACCAAACTAACTATAACAATCTCTAAACACAATCAATCATATGTATTCTAATCTTCACTTTTACTCGTTTCTCTTTTCTTTTCATTCACATCACATCAATATTAATTTGTACTTGATAAACCTCTCTTCTAATAAATGTTTCTATTTTTTCTTAGTTTTTTCTTTTGTTTGTTCAAATGAATGAAAATAAAACTAAAACTAAAATTTAAATAAGTGTTTCAAAAATAAAATATGGTTTTAATATATAAAAAGAGCTTCTGTCTTGAGATTTGTTTGTTTGTATATCTTTCTTATGAGTTGTTTGAATTAAACCATGAAACATTGAATGTCACATCTAAAACTATGTGTACTATAATAAAAAATTGGTTTTTGACTTTTAAAATGAAATATATAAAAATTGATAACAATAAAAGTAAATGAAAATTGATTTAATATATGTTAGATTGTGAAGTTATGATGTAATTAATATGTAATAATAACTCCTGCTCAATAATGATTATCAATAATCTAAATTTTGATTTTTTTTGATTGATACCATGATCTGCGCACCACACCGGTTTTTTAAAAATTAAACTATGCATTATTGTTTTTGGCATAATTATGCAATAAACCTAAATTTTGACCCGCACCAAGTCAGGAGAAGCCCTGGCCTATGCAAAATGACTGAATATGCAATTGCGCGGGTATGCAATTGCGCGGGTTTGACTGTACTCAAAGAGTTCAATTTTCAAAACTTGAACCCAAAATCCAATTCATAGAAAAACAAGATCTCACTTCACTTCTATCTGAAAATGAAAGGCTTCTAAGAGGAATTAAAACAAATATTAAGAGAAGAAATATCAAATATGATCATTTTGAAATCTTGATCACTCATTTTTTTGGATATCAGACACAATCGTACAGTCAAATGTACTAGATTTGGAGTCCCTTGAGCGAATGAACACATTACAGGCCAATGTCGAGGTCCCAGTGTGTTTTCTTTTCTTACTTTACTGTTTTGTTTCCTCTCAGATTGATCCATATCCCCACTCAGCATCTGACAGACTGATAGTTTGTCAGGCAATCAAATATGGCTTTGAAATGATGAATACCTTCTGTGCCTTGCTTTGAATTGCTGTCATGCCTAAAGTTTTCCCATTGCAGAGCGCAGCAATTATAAAGCCGCACTGCTTTGAGATGTGAGAGCAATATAATTTTTATAGAAGAGCGGTAGTGTTTTCTTACATAGTGCAAAACCGCTCCGCTTGGAGAAACAGGGAACATAGTGTAGCGTAGTGGAGCGCTGTGGGTGTTGTTACCAAGTACCTATATTGATTTGTATGATTAATCATATGTGTTTGTGAAATTAAAAAAGATTACTAATTGAATTTAAACTGCCAGTTGACCATCAATTAAACTCAATAAAAGATCAAATTGATTTAAAAAGCACATATACCATTGTTGTTTTGATTTTTTTGATTATTCAAGAGATCCTGTTGACCACATGGCCTGAAAAGACCCCACCAAGACCCCAGCGACACCATCTATCCAGAATAATCAAGAGGAATCTCTGGCTATCAGTTGTGAAGCTACTCCAAATATGGCACAAGTGGTAACAGTGACACCCCCTGAACCTCAACATCCAAATCAGGTCCTGCCCCAGCCTCTCTCAAAGCCAAGGCCAAGCAAATTGTTCTAAGATATGACATCCTAGCCAACAACATCCTGGATGATAGCCAGTGTCCCTCCACACTTTGAGCTTTTGTTTAAGGTCTGAAGGATCCTTTTTTGATTGATTTGATCCCCTTATGATTTCCTTGCAGTTGCTCCATTTCCCCTTGCAAACTATGCTAAAGCACCTGGAGGTCATTGCCAACATCTTGAAGCAATTGGCCACCCTCACATCAAAACTCATTGCTTCTTCCAGTGGTGCTTCCTCATCTATCACAATGAATCATGTTCAGTTACATTCAACACCAGGAACCCCAGGGCCTCAACCTAATGTTGATCCAGCCCCTGGCCCTCAGTCCAATGTTTACTGTGCTCCTAGTACTTCTCTTGATAACCCTCTTGATGATTGTCTTGATGACAGACCTCTCTTGAATGGTTATAAAATATCCCCGCCTAACCCCTCAGGAAGAAGCCTTCCTTATCTTACCTCAGCCAGCTGAACAGCTGGTTACCTCAATTAAACATGCAGCAGCCTGACTATCCAGCATTCCTATGAGTGTCCCAACAGAGTATTGAAGAAACATATGAATTGAAGTAAATTATTGTTTCTCAAATAAGTTAATTATGTACACGGCAATATCAGAAAACAGCGGGACCACTCCAAAAGAGTGACTGAATCAATTAAGTTGTGTAAACCTTTTGCAAGGGGATGCGAGAATGCTCTTCCGGGAAGTGGTATCGAGTGATGACCTTCCTGGTAGATGTCTCGCTTTCACTGCTGGAAGAGCGAATCGGAGAAAACAGGCATTCCGATATCTGATCGAGATCAGGCTTGGCGATCTTCAGGGGTACAAGTGATGGTTCAGGCAATTCGTCCCGAGTGGTCAGTGCTTTCCACTATGTATCATGAGCAAGAATCATGCATGAGTTGGGAAAATATTGGGTGTGAAGGCAGTATACGACGCACACTGTTGAGAAATAAAGCGCCAGTCATGAGGTAAGAGCTTGACACTACCACCCATACTAAGGTCGACCTCCACGCCTCACTAAGGAATTGGTTTTTCAGACGATTCAGTAGAAGTCAAATAAATTTCACGAGGTCAATCAACCAAACTTTTCATCTATTTCTCCAATCTTCAACGTCAAAAAAACCCCGACCATCAAATCCCATATCAGCACAAGGATGAGAAGACCAAATTGCCATAGTAGGAAACCTGTCATGAAGAAACAGTTAAGCACAGAAGATGAAATGAAACAGACACTCTAATAGGACGAACGATATCCCTTCAGAAGCGATTCGGCAATGCGTGAATTTTCAGAGGCTGATGGCGGAATGAAGACGGCGGGCTTGTCATCCACATCGAATGCCTCGTCCACTTCTTTCCAAAGCTTTGTCTTCCCCGTTGCAACATTTACAGTGCCTTTCAAATACCGCAGGAAGAGGAAGCCGGTGAAGCAGTAAAACTGCATACCAATAAAATATTATTAGTGAGTCGGTGGCTGCTACCAAATTCTTAAACTGAATATTTGTGATGCCCATGGCAGACAATGAACATGGATACATACCATTACAGCAATCAGAGCAGCAATTGACCAATACAATGCGCCCCAGCGAAACCGACTGATGCATCGTTGGCCCGCTTCCGCGTACTGCTGCAAGCTCTTGGTCGGATCCATTCCTGACGTTAATTGGGCCAGCGCTGCAGCATACGCATCATCCTTCTGGCGAACCGACACGACAGACGTGATACCCCAAGTTAGTGCTCCCAGAGCCACGAATATAGGGACGCCGATGCAAATCGAGTTCATGAAGATCGGATGTGGCAGAAAACTTGTCACCAACTGATGATTCACAAGGGGCCGGCCGGGAGAGAATAAGCTGAGGTGAGGCCCGAGAGCATACAAGTCTGTGAGTATACAATGTTCATATCTAGAAGAATGTTCTGTTGAGTTGAAGCGCACCATAGATATAAGGCGGTGAAGCCAGAGGACCAATACCCAAAATACCCTAAAACAAAACAAAAAGTGACAACTTGGTTCAATAGGTGAAAATCCTGAGGGAGGCAACTTAGGGACTTGATGCTACCCGGGGCATAACTAATGGCAAGCCAGAAGTTCTGATGATTACTCCGCGACGGGATGGGCGATTGGATGGCCTGATAGGAGAAGAAGATATATATTTCCGATGAAATGCTCCCCAAAAGCTGACAAATAATCAGAAGAAGTCCACCATTAGGTATCAAGTAGGGGCCCAGATCCCCCACTGTTACGGAGGTGTCAATATCAGTTTGAAGAGACAAAGCAGGAGATGAAAAATGGTAGTGAAGGCAGACCATAGTGCCGACGCCATAGCCACAGATGCCTGCGACGGGCAGCTCGCCCTCCGAGCGTAGGAATAGCCAATATTGTCACGCATAAGATGATCACCAGAAGGTAAAAAATGCTGCAAGCAATCAATACCCACCGCACGTAAGGATAAACTGAAGGGTGCTGATGTGCGTTCAAGCGAGAGATAATTGATTCGGCGGTATCGTCCAGATATAAGGCCGAGGTTATAGACGCCGTGAGATCCGGCATGTGTCACTGAAGTGAAGTTATGGAAAAAGGAAAGTCTAGAAGAGAGCGTAAGAGGTCAGATGGAAGACTTTTCGTGGCGAGCGTAAATAAACATGGAGTTCGAACTGAAATCGTCAACACTCGATGGATGAATAATCAAGAGCGTACACTTAGAAACTTGGCTGCCATCATGCTTAATTAGCTACATCGAGTGACTCGTAAATTTCCAATTCAGGTGAGAGATGTCTTGGCTTGATATCGACGTCGTGAAGGGAACGATATTCTCCTTTGAGCATAAGCTCAGGAGACTCGCGCATCAAGGCTTAACCTGGATTGACTCATAAATCGATACGAAGTCAAGATCACCAATGTGTAATCCATTCCCACAATGGTCGCACTCATTGGCTCAGGAGCAGCGGACTGAGTACACTATATGATCCAGATGCGCTTCTAGATTGTGAAGTAAAACACTCAGGTTTGAGGATTTCGTCCTGCTCGAGAAGCATTTTCTCGTCGAAAGGAAGCTCTGACACCATAAGTAGAGCACCAACGCCGTCCGAATCTAAGTCGATGGATTCAGCTTCGGGTCGGCGTTCATTTCGATGCGTTTGGCTCATGCAACTAGCCAAAAGCTTTGATCATCAGAGGGTTTCAAGTTTGTTTTTTACGGTTTTTTGCAGTACAACAAGTTGTCCGATACTGCAAAACTAGCCCATTCAGCGGCGGGCGCCGCACAACTCCTTCCCAAGAGATTTCTTAAGATTTCACACTGATCCCAGTCTCACAACAGCTGTGATAAATAGTACCTCTGGAATTGAACCTTGGGTTTTTGAGTCTAACAGAAATTGATTTTTCATTGCAGACACTTCTAACTCTAACTCCCACAGTAGGGAACTTTATCCTTGTACTTGAAGCATCAATCTTACATGGTCAAAAGTGCCCTGCAAAAGTGTGAAGTTGTGCTCGGTCAGGAGATAGATGGTGGAATGTTCTAATCAGGCCAAGCAAATCATGTTGGACTCAATCCAAACAAAAGCAGAACCTCAGTATAAGAGAAAGAGAGAAATGACAGTAATCTTATATAAAGATTTTGTAATGATACAGTCAGATGAGGAAAAGAAAAAAAAACCTATCAGATTGATGTTCAGTGATCAGGTTATAAAGAAAACGCAAAATGAAATTTACAGCTATGACATCACAAGATCAGTGATGTAACATTCTTCATTGGGCTATATGATGTAATGTGGTAAATGAAGAAACACAAAAATGAATAAAACAAAAATACATTTATATGAAATACATTAATATGTAAAAAGACTTTTTAAAGCACAGAAATAAATCCAACAAATCATTGCTTGGTGTTGGTAACTTGTGATTAACATGGTGGAATGGGAAAGTTGGAATCTATCACATGTGTATTGGTACTGATGGGTCAGCCTGTTAACCATATCTCTTTGTTTTACAGCTATGATATCATAGCTGTTTACCACCATTGTTCTCAACTTTCCCATAGCATTTACTTCTGTTGAACTCATCTTATCATCAATTTATAAGATTATATTTCCTAGTCAAGAGTTATTATTTAAGTTTGCCCACCCTCCCATTTCCCGGCAAGTCAGGTTACAAAATAAAATGGCATATATTTGATAGGGTATGATATGGGGTCTCTTATTCTTTAGTTTGTTATGAGTTATTGTTTATGATAGTTATTTTTATTTTTTGATTCTTATTTGGTTTGGTTATCTTTTATTTTTTCATCATCATTATTATCAGTACTGTTTCATTCAGAAGTTGGTCTAAAACATGTGTTATCCGCTGTCCGCCCCATAGGGTGTGTTTGTTTGTCAAAAGAATTTTTTTCCCTTGGCTTAGGCCTTGGGCTTCACACCAAACATCATTCTATATTTGGTTTCTCTATACCAAAATATTAGTAAGTTTGGTTCTGATATTCCCATTTCAGATTTTTCTCCCTCTGTGTTGCCCTCTTCCCATCTGGTGAAGGCTTTGATCAGCAGTTGACTATTAGATCTCAAATAATTAATGAGAATCCAGAAGAATGGCTCAAAAATGAATTATTTTCAAGACCTAAAATCAAAGATAACAAAGATCCTATAAGATCATTCAACACACAACCAAATCCTATGTGACAGAAATATTGTCTACTCCACTTTTATACCAAAGTTTTATTCTTTTCCAAGTGATTTCTCACTCAAAGCCTCAATCAATATTAACTTCAAACTTTCAGTGACTTCACCTTCTTTCAAGCTTCTTCTAATCACAATTATTACTTACTCAATAATAAAATCATTTGCAAGCTTCATTTATAATCACTTGCTACATATAACATATTCTTCTATAAGATTTTGGTTTTATGTGTGATCTTGGATTGAACTTCAGACATTACTAACCTTATTTGCTCATTTCTTTCGAATCCTCAATTTCAATGGAGAGTCGGATCCTTGTCTCAAAATTTTTCTCATTGGAATGATGAACCACTTCACTTATCAATTTTGTCATGTCATCCTTTGCATTACAGAATTGTTCAATTTATGCATCCACAAAATACCAATCATGATTCACATCAATGAGATATTTTCTTCTTTGGGTTGGGGTTTAGTGAGTCTCTGTCTTTTATTCAACTTTCAAGTCACAAAGTTTGTTTGAAGACTTTTAGAACATCTCTATGTGCTTCAAGTAGTTCACAAGTTTGATCAAAAATTCAACAATAGTATCTGAATATTGAATGTCACATGATTCATTCCAATAAACATCATCTCCAAATGATTGATTGAAACTAAATGTGATTCTTCAGGTCAGAAGAAATTATCAATGAATGTTGCTACTCTTGCTGCTTTTAATGAAGGTCTAGGTGCATGATCAATTCTCAAACTCACAGAATTCATTGATTCTTGATCCATAAGTCATAGAGAAGATGAATGTAAATTGTTGATTGAGTAATTGAATTTGATTCAAGTTGGTTTTGATAATATGCCACTGACTGAATCAATCTATTATCAGATATTCAACCCCAAGCAGAAAGGATTCTAATAAATACAAAAAAAGATGAAGATGATGCAAGATTGAAAATGCTTCAAATGATTTGGTTGATCTTAATAAACAATATAGTTTTCAAATTGATTGGATTCAAAAATTAATTGAACTTGAATATATTGGAATTAATTCATGAGATCATAATTAGTTCAATCCAAATCATAATCCAAGTTGTCTCAAAGTACTTACCACATGAAATCTCTTCCTACACTGATTTTATCTTCAAAATGTAAACAAGACCCAATGATCATGAAAAGCAGTGACATACCACTGGATTTCACTGAGACTAAGATCAATGATCGATTTCCCATCTACTACTCCAGCTTTATTGGAGATAATTGTTGGATGTCCTACTTCAGCTTTGACGCGATCAACTACATCTTTGACTGCTTTCGGATCCATTATGTTGCACTTATAACATCAAACATCTAGAGACAAAGAAAACCAAAGTCAGCAACAATCTTGATTTGAAAAACAGTGAGTTTCAATTCAAAAGACAAAAACAAACCAGAACCAGAAGGATTTTGGATAGAAGGTCTAAGATCTAAAACGACGATCGTAATATTCCTGATAGCCAAAGTTTCCAAAATCACTTTACCTAACCCATCAGAACCACCACTGACAAATACCATTTCATGATCCCGAACAATCCTATCAATCCAATTCTCCGAGTCTATTCCGACCAGTCCATTGAATGATATGTAGTTTAATAACCATCCAATTGGAATCAAAATCCGAGGATCCACCGGTGATGTTGATTGCGCTGCAGAAATCGCTGGCAATCATATCCCAGCTACTGCTGGTGATCCCAATCCCACTCTTGATGACAATTCAATTCCTGTGATCGATGGCGATTCCATTCCTGATATCACTATTGACCCAGATGATGTGACTGAACGGCCTATCAATACTGCAATCAGCAATACCAAAGATACCATGTGGTAATGGAAAAGATGAGTTGTGGTGGGTAGGTGTAGATTGAATTTGGCGATGAAAGTTGGGTTGATTAAGATTCTGTTGTTGATGTTGATTTGTAGATGAAGATGGTGAATAAGTTGAAGAAGAGGAAGAAGAAGTAGTTGAAGTAGGTAAAGGTGAGATTGAGATCGGTTTAATGATTGTTGGTGTTGTTCATGTTAGTTTAGTTGGCTTAGTTTTAGTCATTTTAAGTGATTGATCGAACAAGATATTGATGGGTGCTGGATGATGAGAATAAGATTGTATGGATGAATAAAGTAGAAAAAATACTGATAAGTTGAATTTGATGATTTGTTGGATTACCTTGATGCTTTAGATTGGTTCATGTTTCTCTCTTGATGACCGTTCTGAGTAATTTGATCATGGAAATGATTGATCATTTGAAGGTACAATGTTTCCATGAAATTGTTTATTGTCTTTGGTCGGTTGAGACCAGGATCTGATTGAGAATTGATAAAGAAGGTGAGGTTTCAAGATTTAAGTGACTTCCGATCATAGTCGAGTTGAAGGTGAATCGGATTGAAGGATTGGATTGGATTGAGATGATATGATCATCAGGTGATTTTATGGGAGCTTCACAATAGATCATGAGGTGGACGCGTGATCCAGGGATTTTACTCAAAGGAGACGTAAACCGCCAAATTGAAAGTACTGATTGGGAGTTTTGTCCAGTTTTGCCGGAGAACACGGTTTTCCTTTAACTTGAATGATTAAATAAATGTAAATTCGTAAAACCCCCCACCTTCAAGCAAAAACTCAGCAATTATGCCTCCCCTTAGGGCTAGACGCATAAGTGCTGAGCTTCCGCTTGAAAGACGGAGCCTACAAACCTACATCCACTTGACACCCCTACTGTTTCAGCAACCAATGGTCGTAAAGACGACTTCCTTGTTTGCTGTTGAGGGGTGTGGGGAGTCACTTTCCTACTATACAACTTCCCCTTTTATATTCGTTCTCCACCTCCCCTATCAACTCACTTGACGCCGTCTCTCTTGGGCATCTGCATTTGGGCATATTCACTTTTTGCCTGTCAATTCCTTATTCTCACTGCATTCGTACTATACTTACCAATCCCGGCCTCTCCTCCAACTGTCCTTGGTAGTATTTCCATATGTCACAAATGCCTCAATATTCACAATTGTGTTATCATTATCCATTACTGGCCATCACCTTTCAAGCTAATATCGCTACTGACTAACCAATAAGGCTATCGACCAACCTTCAACTGCTTTTGGTAGTGCTTCCGTATCTCACAAATGCTTCAACATTCACAATCCCATCATCATTACCAATACTGGCCATCACCGTTCAACCAATATGGCTACCAACTAACCTAACACTCTAAGTTGCTTTCCATCTTAGTAAATCTTTTTACTCCACATTCACCTATTCCTTTCTGTTGAACGTATTCAGCACCTTTCCTTCTATCTTCAACCATTCATTCCGGACCCCTTACAGCTTACCACCTCAAGCACTGCCTTTTACGTAACCTCCGTGCTAATCATTGCTACTCTTCTTGGCCTCCTCTGTCACGTACCTTTGTCAACCTTACATTCCCAATGACACGCACTATCCATTGACCTGCCTATACCAGTATTCTGTCACTTGATACCTCTCATATAGCTACCTACATAAGTAATCGCTCAATCTGAGATCTCATAGGTCCCACCGATAAACTTAAAAATCAATATTGCCTTGCCGTTTATTAAAGCTTTCTACTCAACTGTCTCTCGTCAGCTTTGCTCACTACGCGTCCGGCCTGCTTTCTCTATCTTTGTGATTTCCTTTTTCCATCACCTAACATAACATCATCAGTCTATTTTTTAATGTATTATCATAAACAAACATCCCGTCAAACTCTGATTCACACTTAGACACTCCTGTCTCATGGATTTACGCCTACACCTGCCTCTCATTATCATTCCTACATATCAACTTGAACTTCATACCATTAATCCATCCCCCTCTTCCTATTTTGTTATCCACATGACCTCATCAACTTCATCTTCTATCAATGAAATCGCACAGACTTCATCATCTGCTTTTATTACATATCTATGATTTTTTCCCGTGACTGTTATCGCTCTCCTATTGCAACATGTTTCATCATTGCCCTTATGCATCAAACAACATTTACATATTATTTCCTCAATCATCAAATTGTATCATGCAACACGATTATAGACCTATTCCTCACCACACCAATTGAAGCCATCATATCAACAAACAATCAACTAATTTGATTTAGTTAATATTTATTTGAATATAAGGAGAGTGCAGACAGAGATTCCATTGGTAACAAAGGATGTGAACGGGTTAGTCATAAGGTTTCTCATTTTTTTTGTTTTTTTTTGCTTTTGAACAATCTTGAGACTTGATCAAATGTTCTCAGCATGTTTGATTCTCTTTATCTCCTCTCTAACAATTCAATCTTTTACTGTTTAATTTCTACATTGGATATGTAATTGAAACCGACCTATAATAGTATTCAGATCATGATTCAATCATTGGAGAACCATCACATCATGTTCTAAAATGAACAACATGAACTTCGCTGGCTATGTCTGAGACCCGACATCCAAGGGTGAACCAGCTCATCAAGATCCCAAATACTTCTTTGATGACTTTGATCCTACGGTCTGGAGAGCCAAAATGGAAGTCCTCAACCCAATGATATACTCAATGGCAGAAGATTGGAATGTAGCCAAAAATTTGATGCATTGGCTCCTTGATCCCGAGATGAAATCATCAATGCCAGGTAAATACTCTTAAATGGTAATCAAAATTCTCAGATCTATCACAATCACACTCATGTTCATTTCGGGGACGCGATCACAAAGGTGCTGAGATAGAACTGGATAACAGAATTTTAATTGATTATCCCTTATTGGTTACGGAGGCATCATTGATCTCGAAAAAGAATGTCGAGTACCCGTATGAGGTACAAAGGAGGTTGCTCCAGTCCATGCCCACACTGGGGCAGCTGGAACTAGAGGGGCCAGGCCTCAGCTTTCCCAGACACCCGGCTCCCGGATGAGAGGGTAACCAGATGATTATCCAATCACCGGTTTGGTGCCTGGATTGCTAGATCCGTGGAAGACACGCGTCGCAGTTGAGGCCTGGACGTGAGACATAGATATCACTGAGGTCATCATCGTGACCTCTTCCTCCCACATCCGATATCTCATCGTCTTAGTCCCTTTTCCCTTAGACTCATCCACGACAGGTCTCCTCACTTCTCCTGCTGCGGAATCACGGATCCCGTATTTTTCTGTTACACTAAATCCAAGATATAGAGTTCATTCATCGTTTTCAATTATCGTTTAAAAACATGTCGAGTAGAAGAAAAGGAAACAATAAAGACAATGAATCAGGAGACATAGTAAATTTATTAACTAAGAATCAAAATTCAAGTCATTCATCAGATCAAGTTAACCAAGTAGATTCGTCTCAGAATCTCGGTAACGATACGATCAATCAATCGGATCAAAACCAAGGAGATCATAATCGTCATCTCGGTACTGAATCCCGTACGAACCAAGGGAACTCGGCGAAAACCAACACTGCAGACATTATTCGGGTTCCCCAAGTGGGCAGGGAAAAATGATTGGGAGTATGATTTGTCATAAAATGGTCTATCACTCCACACCTGAGCCATAACACCCACACTACATATGTGTAGCAGGCTCAGTGAATATGTGGTTATCATGTACATACAGTTCTGCTCAGTTATCTGCTCATCAGGACAAGTTATTCATATGTAATACATGCTGTAACTTCTTTCAGATTGAAAAAAGCTTCCAAAAGATTGACTACATACACTGACTCAATGTTTTGGTGTGATCTCATCAACTCAACTGCATGTAACACACTTTCTGTTACTAAGACATAGCTTCAACAATATTGCCTGAGCAGCTACAGAATTATATGTAGTGAATTTTTGGGAAAAAAAAATCAAAGTCGAAAAAGTTACATGTGGTATAACATGTGATTTATTTATTCTGATGGGCAAAAAACTGAGCAGACCTGTATGTACATGATAGACAACTATTGACTTAGCTTGCTGCACATATGTAGTGTGGGTGAAATGGCCCAGGTGTGCAGTATTAGATTCTTTTATGAAAAACTGTACTATTAATCATTTTCCTCTGCCAAATTGGGGAAGTTGAATGATGTTTACAGTGCAAGAGTCTCGGTTCAACCCAAAACCAAGAGGACATATCATCTATTGATCCTGGAGTTGGAAATCAAGCGATATCTCAAGTAGTACCTTCATTAGGTCTAGAGGAACAATTGAACGAAGGAAATTCGAACAATGTAATTGCAAGTAAGTAAATTGTAAATCTCCAATCAATGAAGATCAATTTCCATTCTAATGTTATATTACAAAATGTAGATAAAGGGAAAGATCAAAACGATAACGTAGTTAAAGAAGAGAATAAAGATAAATCAAGAGGCCAAGAAAAGAACTTGGTAAATCCAAATTATTTAGCAATCTTAGGAGATAAATCTCCTATAGAGAAACACGGTAAGTAATTTGAGAAAATGATATTCAGATCAAATAACTGACAATGTAAACTACATAGGTATAACCATATCAATAAACTCTGATAGCAAAGGAGACTTCGAAGACGGGATAGACTTGACGAATAAAGACGCTGTCTTTGCTAAAGCGATGGCTTTATCAGTTAAAGGAGATGGTTTAGGCGCACCTAAATACCTGAAGGTGTACAAAACTTTAGGGAAGATGTCTGTTCAAAGACCTTCGACTAAGAGAGCATCTTCAGCAAACCCAATTTTATCAGACAAATCCAAAAGCGTACCCGACGGAGCGGTATTCGAGAACGGAATGTGGTTCTTCCCAGGAAAAACAGCAAGTCACACCAAGAGAAGTTACACTCCTTATTTCGACAAGAATATCGATGAGTTAAGATATCCAATCCCTTTAACCATTTTCAACAAAGATTGGCAAAATAAAGCCATGACTTGTCACATCAAGAAGAAAACGAAATCTAGTGACGGGGAAAAGTCAGATTCATCTTACACAGGTCTTCCTTATGCAGACGAATGGCTTCTCGATTATGGTGATTGGAGTATATAATACAATGCTTTCATCAATGCAGTTTCTGAATTCTCAAAATTTACCGAATGGGCAGTAGCTCACAAGGCAAACGTTGAAAGAGTTCTTGGTGAAATGGGCTGGTTAACGGCTCTGAAGTACAATATGAGAGTTAGAGAAAGCGCAATAGTGAATAGAGTCGAAATAGGAGGATTGGTAGCCCCACCAGACTTTTTGGCGTATAACAAACTCTTGGCCAAAGAGTGTTTCGGACAATCAAGAATGAGAGGTAAGTTACTTCGTTACCATCTTGTAGAATAGGACAAACTAATAACATTATGAATTATAACTGTTTAGAAGAATTGAACTTCACTAAGAATCCATACGTCAAAGGTGGTGAACGTGAAGGATGGGACCCCGCAACAGGAAAACCACCTAAGAAATCAACGAGTGTTCAACATAAAGATAAACCTTTCAACAAATGGAATAACAAGCAAAGTGACGACAACCCAGTCGCTAGTGGATCATTTGTTACGAAAGAAAAGAAGAAGTTTAAATCTGGTTACAATGGTAATAACTTCGATCCTGACTATCAAGCTAAGAAAGCGGCTGCCGCTGCAGCAAAAGCGAGTGGTAATAGCACTAAGTAGGTGGTAACTCATCTCTATTTCAATCCTTCTCATCTTCATAGAGTGTAATTGTTATGTTAGTACAAAGCATGTACGTAGAGCAAATCGTTAACGAGTATTGTTGTTAATTTATGTTAAGTGAAATCAAATTTGTAGCCATGAATCGCCAAATAAAGCAATTGAAACGTTTGTTTAGTGATAATCCCGCGAGTACTTCTAAAGCATTGTTCAACAATGAACCAATGAGTTATTGAGAATCAAACACAACAAACAACCCAGAATTTCCAATTGGATGGCCTACAGAAATCAAATGCGAAATGAATGTTGAAGCTTGGAAAGAAGCACTGAAAAAGAACAAAGTATTTGAAAAATATGAGGATGTTACACATGGATTTATTCATGGTTTTGATCAAGGAATCCCCAATCACGAAATAGATGGTATGGAGTTCTGTACGTCTGATAATCACACGTCGTCAATTCTAGCATCTGATAAGATAAGAGACTCGATGGCGAAGGAGGTGAAAGCGAAAAGAATGTACGGACCTTATACTCATAAACAGATCAAGAAAGTTTTCAAATTCTTCAGGTTGAGTCCATTAGGAGCCGTCATAAATGGCGACGGGTCTATGAGACCCATTAACGACTTATCATTTCCTAGGAACAATCCATCTATACCATCCGTAAACTCATTCGTGGACCCGAAATTATTCATAACCACCTGGGACGATTTTAAGAGAGTAGCAGCTTTCTTTAGGTCGTCAAAAGAACCATGGCTACTAGCGCTATTTGATTGGGAGAAAGCCTACAGGCAAATCCCAACTTTAATGCGACAATGGAAGTATCTAATGGTGAAAGATCTAGACGGAAATTTAATGTTAGATACAAGGATCACCTTTGGAGGAGTCGCAGGTTGCGGTTCTTTCGGAATACCCGCCGACGCCTGGAAAGAGATCATGATGAAGGAATTTGATCTGATCATCATTTTCAGGTGGGTTGATGATAATTTATTCATAAAGAGATCGGGTTCGACAACCAAGATGAAAGACATCGTAGAAAGGTCACAACAATTAGGAGTTGGTACCAACAAAAAGAAATTATCTACATTCCAACACGAGCAGAAGTTTATCGGATTTATTTGGAATGGAGCAAATAAAACGGTAAGATTACCTGAAGCAAAACTCAAAGAGAGGAAAGAACAAATCAAGGTGTTTCTAGTAAAAGAAGCAGATACAACTTATGATAAACTTGAAATATTTATTGGCAGGTTAATCCATGTATCATACATCCTTCCTCAATTGAAATGCTATCTTAATGGCCTACACAGGATGAAGAAGGAATGGGTCAACAAATACGCTTTGAGGAAAATCCCGTTAGATGTCGTAGAAGACTTACAATTCTGGCTTGTCACACTCGAAAACTTTTATAACATGCGACTAATTTCCCTAGATAGTCCAAAGGAAATTGGCTGGGTTGGAGATGCCTCAACCTCCTTTGGCATTGGGGTGCTGATTGGAACAAAATGGAGCCAATTCTCATTACTCCCAGGCTGGGAAACATCCGGTGTTTCGAAAAGAGGCATTGCTTGGTTGGAAACCGTCGCAATACGCCTTGGTTTCCTAATGTTGTTAGAAATGAACGTTTTGCAAGGGCAAAACTTGATTGTTTGGACGGACAACACCACCTCTGAAGGTGTCGTCCGAAACAGGAAGTCTCGTGACAGAGAGGTCAACAATGAATGGAAGATTATACAACATCTCATAATCCATCACGATCTAAACATCCATCCGCAGAGAGTCACTACTGACGATAACATAGCGGATGAATTGTCCCAAGGTATTTCTACGGGCCACGATAAAGCAGATAGGATCTTTTTAGCTATCCCATCAGATCTTGTAGGTATCTTAATTAATGTGGTTGTGCCTAAACCTATTGTACCAGATACGTTTCCCTGAGATCATGCCAGTAATTTAATTTCATTTCGTTGCGCTTGCACCTTCTTAAAGATTTTTGAGCCTGGGTTAACCCCTCGGATTTGTAAAAGATAAACTCAAGCTTGCTCAAATCAATCATCACATTGGAGGTTCAATTCATAATTCTCCTACCTAATTAGGAGTTGACTAACCCCTAACCTTTCTCCCAGTGTTCTGCGTTCAACAGAGGTAGAAACTCGATGGACCTAACAAGAATTAGTGATTTTCTGTCAGGAAGCGAAGACAACGACTTGTCTGATATCAAAGCACATCTTCTACACGGGTGGAAGTGGAACACCTTAACGAGCTACAATAGCGGTGTTCGCAAGTTCTTACGGTACTACGAAGTCAGCAACAACAACCACTTCACACTTCCGGCTAGCCCCAATGATATCTATGGTTTCTGTCTATGGGCGGGCCGTACCGAACTCAGCACATCTGGGAATGAAGTTAATGCAATCACCCTTAGGAAGTACCTGTTCGCATTGCAGGTGTGGCACCTATTCCACGATCGACCTGATCCCCACGTGGTTTCAGCTCGCGTACACGTCATGCTTAGGGCATCGGCGAGCGTTGACGCGTCCTTACCGTCCCGGCCCCCAAAACAAGCGGTTTTGTTGAAACACTTGGCGGCTTTGTATCACGACCTCGACAAATCCGATCCAAAAGACTCAGCTATCCTAGATTGTGCGCTTTGCTCGTTCTGGGGTCTAGCCAGACTGGCCGAATTTACTTACGATTCGTCATTCGGAGACACCGCTTGGATCAACTCAATCTGGTGTAGCGACGTTGTCCCAAGCCCATGCTCTGGGAATTCGCTGACGCTACACGTCCGGGGAACGAAAACAGCGAAGGCTGGCGTGGCCCAGCTTATCCTCCTCAACAGCCAGCCCAATTACCTCTGCCCGGTCAAAGCCATACGCCGTCGACTACGTTTGACTGCGAAAGGGACAGACTCGCTGTTTGGCTACATAGATGTATCAGGCACACGTCGAAATTTGACTCGGTCCACCGTGGCGAACAGATGCATCCAGGTCTGGAAGAACCACGGCTGGGTGGGAATCTCAGGTCATTCTTTCCGCGTAGGCGGGGCGTCCTTCAGAGCAGCCTTAGGAGTCGATCACGACGCAATCAAATCGCTAGGCCGTTGGACTTCTCAGTGTTACAAGCTGTACCTCAGAGAATACTCCCCAGAGCAGTTGTCGGAGACTACCGCGCTGCTGGGTGTGCTGAACAAGTGACACAGTCACTGCTTGGTTCACGGGTTTCCCACAAGGTAGGGGTTTTCGCGACGGCTCAGGCTTGCCTGCAAACCCGAGTACTGGGTGTATCGCTAATACCCCCCCTTGTGTTCTCTCCTAGGTTTGGTTGGTTGTTTCGCGTGTCGGTGGTCATCACCTTTCCTTTACCGACTTCGCCCGGCGGTCCCAGAGTCTCAGATAAGAATCTTGAGCCGGACAGTGCCGGACGTCGGTAGAGGAGATGGCTGATGACCCCCTACCCCCGAACACCATACATACTGTATGGCGTACACGTGCTGCTATCCAGCAGACATTTGCAATGTCATAGGTTCAGGGCTGACCATAACAGTCCCTCAACCCCTGAATCCTGCTACCCAGACACGACGTAGACGTGTACAAATACGAGATCTAGATAGCTAAGAGAAGCTGTGAGTCGTGAATGGATTGATCGTATATCACCAAATTAGCATTTGAAGAATTCAACACCCCAGCATGTTACTCCATTGATTGATTGGACATGTGCACGTACGTACTAAACCTTCAACAAGTTGTGACAGAACACTTCCTACAGCACTCCACATAACTCATTGTGCTCCTCTTCTCAGATAAGCTGCAGGGAAAGGTTCAGCTCTTATAGTAGGTATCGAGCACATGCTAACGACTGGCTCTCCAGTTTGCAATGGATATTTGTGCTTGGCAAAGGTAAATTCATTGTTTACAGACCTTAAAGTGTACTATCTTAAAATCAACATTGTCATCACACTTCTGAATTCTTTAAATGTGTGTAGGCATTCTGAATTGGCCCATTGCCAGAGGCTTACTGTCATCACTTCTGATGTCAACATTGAAATCTGAGTCAACTACCTCAATTTTGTCACAATATCTTATTGTATCAAAACCTTTACTTCCCTCTGCACCCATCATGTTCTCCAGCAAGGATGGATCCAAAGCCCAGGCAGATGCATCCTGATTGAATTCCAGCTGTTGTTATCTTGTGTCAGAACATATGCCAGACAAACCTTACTTAACTCTGACTCCAACATATCCCAAATCTCAGGAATTACAAATAAGTCTACACTCTTCTCACTCTCTCCTGTCCTACCTCACTCATTGTCTTAATTGTCTATACAACTTCCCATTGTCAAACTATGAATTGTGTGTAAAGTTCACCTTCAAGTCCTTTAAAAAATATGCCAATTGTTTGTGGTTGTGTCTGATCAACCTTTACCCACACTTAAAAGACCACCACATTGCCTTCCCATAATGCTTCACATAATCATTTGTGCAAATCCACTGTGAAATTCCATGCACACGGCTTATTTTATCTCAGTATTTTTCTTGTCTGCAATTTACTATGCTGCAATAGTCTCCTTTTGGTCTCAACCGCAGTGATGTATATACTGCTTCATACATTCTTCCATAAGCATGTATGATACTCCTGCCACTCTATGCTTCTTCAGATGTGATCTTACTTCCTTCTTATAAAGATCCTCTTTTCTGCTCTACTTGCCATGGCTCAACATAACCTCATCTTTGTTTGCACAACTGCAATCATCTTACTTTGCGCTGTTTTTGTCTTTTAGGTGTGAAATTTTCATAGTGATGGAGAAAAACCCACATTTCTGAATCACTGTAAAACAGAGTCATCATGATTTATGGGTTTTTTGTTCTAATTTGATATGCTGTTGGGAATAGAGATTAGGGATGTGTTCATCTTGAAAATTTAAATTTACAAGTTGGGAGCAAGAATATTGCACCAAGGAGTCTAGGAGCTAGAAAGTGTATTTCTGAATGACATGTATATCTTCTC